GGATTTTCATAGCTCATTAGGACCTACATGATGCACATAGTCCTGACTTAATAGCGAGGAATCACTTGGAGACCTTCCCTCGTGAGCGAAACTACATAATGTCCCAACGGTTCATTTGTAAAATATTTTTCGTTCCATTTCACTATTACTTGAACTTTATTTGGTAATTTTTTCTTTTGGATAATAAATAAATACACAAAGATTTTATTTCTAAAGATAAACTTCAAAACCATTGGTAAAAGTTAAGACCTTTAGACGACGTAGAAAAATTTAGCCTATTTTCTTTTTCCAAAAAAAAAATATTCCACTACGTTTCTCTTTTAAATTATATTGAGCTGCTGAGTGATTTGAATCTTTAAATTGTTCAATACTTGAACGATCTTTTTACAAAATTTTATTTTGGTATGTCTTTCAAAAAGGAAATGAATAATACCGAATTTAAGTTCAAGCAATTAAAACATACATCATGCTGAGTTTTTCTCAAAAGAGACAACATGCTAAATTTTTGTATTTCAGCTAAAGGTCTTAACTATCAACAATGCTTTTAAAGTTTGTCTTTAGAAATAAAACCTCTATGCATTTATCTATTATCCAAAAGAAAATCCTATCGATTGAAATTCAGTCAATAGTGAAATGAAACAAAATAATCTATTATAAATCGACTTTTAGGGCATCCCATACTTTGCAAGTAACAATGAAAACAATAAATACAAATTTTGATATATGATTGAGACAATTGTACAGTTGTATATGTTATCACAGGATATATGTACTGGAAAGTACTTTTGATGAAGCTTGACTTAGAAAAACCTTGTAATGGTTTTTTTTTCCTACTTAGCATCACGTGCTCCAGCGAACAGTTAAAAGATTAAAAAAATAAATGCTATTTATATCGCGGATTGCATTGGAAACTTCCAAATTTAACATTTTCTTATTTAACTAGTAGGATGGATCACATTCTAGAATCTTAATTCACTGAAAAATTTGTACTTTAGCTGTGCTAATATAAAGTAAAGTAAATTATGAAGAATAAGAGCTATTATTGCTTAGATTTGGATATTTATCGAATAATTCTTAATACTTATTGAATGAATAATACAAACTCCATATTCACAACATCTAAAACAATGTACGCTCATTAACTCCTTCAGAAAAGAGAATGACCAGATCATAGTTTTTGTTTTTGAAAAAAAAACAAGCATATTAGTCATTTTATGTAATTGAAAATGTTTTAATACGTAACAATCTTATGTAATCAGTATTCATTTGGCATTATTGATGTACGTGACAACTATTTGAATGTTTTCTGATGAGTCCCTAGTTAGAAAATTTTTCTCCCTGTCAAAATTGACACGATCTATATATTGATTTGAAAGTTTTGATTTTTAAATTCATTGTTATATATTTCGTAGAAACAAACTATTGAACATTCATTAATTCGAAATATTTAATGTTTCTGGACACGATTAACGATCATATATCACTAACATCTCACGAAAATATATAAACTGCTTCCTTATGGCAGTCCTAGAGGATTTAATATAAACGATGAAAAAATGAGTACCAAGATAGATCGAATAAAGCGATATTCTAGTGATCAGTAACAACAGCTACATCGTTTTTCACATTTTAATCTCGCAGTGATTGCGCTAACAGCTTTTCTTTCTGAGAATGCATCAAAATGAGAGAAGTATTTGTTTTATGAGATGAAATTTGTGACGTATAATTTTGTCACGTGTGTCTGACAGACAGAAAGAGAAAGAAAAAAATCTTTCCTAACTCAACTTATTTCAGTATCGAAGAAATAAAAACACAATTCCATTTCTTTTTATCGCTTCTCTTCGTTGCATGTGTTTTTTCTTCATTAATAAATTATATGTTCGCGACTTTTTTTCTCTCGAGCAGGATCATGGCTCATTCTCGTTAGTTCAATACGCTTTTCTTTTTACTCATTCGTTCTGATAAATGTAACAATGGCAACTCCTACAATTCTAAGCATAACAATAATTGAACAATTAAGTACCTACAATATGAACGATTATGATGTGTTATGTCTCTTTGAAATATTTCATATCAACACATACCATTAGCATATATTTCGAATTTTTCTCCTCTATTTTTATTCAAAAATTGCACTTTTTTTAAGTTGACCATTCCGTAGACTATTTTTGGGTATTTTCACCATTAATAGATTCGTCTTGAAGAGGCTTTACATATTATTTTGAACTATACTTGAACTTGTGATAAGCATGTAGCAACAATGTCAAGATTTTTCACATAATAAAAGCTCTACGAAAACATCTACTGTCTGGAAAAGAAAAGTAGCGAAGTCTACAGATTTCTCTGGATTAAATGTCGTTTTGTCAAATTTTTGTCCCTTAAAGTAAATGTGTGCTCACTTTAAATAGGATCTTCATCTCGAAGTTTAATAGTATCTTATTTTATTGCAGTTAATGTTCGTTGTTATCGATTGCCCAGCCGCTGAACTTTTCGGCAAAGAACCAAGAAATTTTCTGCTGGACAGAGCAGGGCTAGTTACAGGTTGTAAAACATCCGTACCCTGCAAGTCTGTTGGCTAAGTTTTTACTATTAAACTTGCCTAGTCAAGCTAGTTGATTGATTTTTATTCGATTGAACTCATTCTAATTTCGGTTTTATGTTTAGTTTTCAATGTTGAATTCAAATAACCTAGTTCCGAAAGAATTAAACTAGCGAAATAAAAGCATTATGATTTACCTGATTTTCAGATAAATGAAGTACTTATCAGTTCGCTGATTATTGACTTCATGTACGCCTGTATATTAACTCTGTATATGATCAACATAACCAATCGTTCTTTTTCGTACATTGTCATCTCTCTTCGTATACAATCGTTAACCAGCGTACAAATTCGACCGAGGCTCCTAAAATTCGCCATTTGAAGTTCTTTTTCTTTACAATTTGTCTGAGAGTGAGCCTATTGAATAGGTAATAATAGAATATTCTTACTCATCATGATTTCATCTATCCAATTATATTTTGTATTAGTAGATTGAGGATAAATAAGTCATGCCAGTACTACAATATTCAAATCGTAACGAGTTACGCTAAGAAGTTTTTTTTCAGAGCATGATAAAAGTTTATATCCGTATACAAACAAAGTCAAATGTCTAGAAACTAACTAATCTTCACGAGCTTCCGAAATCGGATATCCAGAAAGATCCTTACTGTTTAATTTTACATTTGTTCATAGGATTATTAAAATTGATGGTTTCTACTATTAAATATCCGAAATATAGAATTTTAGATTCTTTTAGAGAGAGAATATCCTATGTGATGTAGTATTTCTATTGGAATATTCTTGAAAAGGTTTTATAAACTGATCTATTGGTATGACTCAGGATAATCGAACATTCCCACACAAAAAAATTTAATCAATTAATACTTCTCATTACTTGTTACATATGAAAAATTAGAGTTTCAAACGTTTTTCACATGATTCTTTTATTTGAAGAAATATGTTTTCAATCAGTGATTTTGGTGTGAAATTCATGATGTGTCGCTATTTTATTTTGAAAAACAAAAAGAAACGATGAAAATCATCAAGTTTATACTATTGACAAAATTGCTCGTACAAATTAGAGTTTTGTCGAAAAAGCCATGTACCAAAACAAAAATCCTGTCGTACCGCACGTTTTCTTAAGTTTCTATAAGTAACTTTTCTACTCTATAAATGTCTCTATTCCACATGACAAAGGGAGATCAAATGAACTTATCGAAAAACGTTCTTAGAAAGATTATTGTCGGCCAACTAACACAGACTTGTATTAGATCTGTGTGTGACTATTTTTATCGGCATTACAAGAGTGAAATATTTTTTTTACTAGTGTCATGACAACATTTTTATCGATGTATCTATAAAAATGTAATTTGTTTCTATGTTTTGTCTCGCTGGCGAGAGTCTGAAAGAACTATGGTAAATTCTCGGTATGCTTTTAAGGAAGGAAACGAGTCATGATGGAGTTCGAATTCTTTTGGGATATGCTCACAAAAATATGAATGTTGCTTCTGCTTAAGTATTTCATCACACTTTTTAGCAATAAAATTGAAGAATAGATCTCCTATTTTAGATTTCCTCTCTCTCTCAATATTAATTGAATTCAATGAGTTTCCGTCGTTTGTATCGCGCATTACCGTACTTATATGCTTTGTTAGCTGTTATCGAAGGAGTTTTGACTGTTGTCACTGTAATGTTCATGATTTCACTTCGTACCAATAGTTCAACAGATACTACAACGGGTTCAACTACAACAACGACTCCTATACCACCAGCGCAACAAAAAAAAATCGATGCTGCATTCGCTTTGTTGATTGTGAGTGCGACTGGTGCCCTTCTATCAGCAGGTGTATGTTTCTGCTCTGGATTCGTTTTTTGGACGTGTTTGTTGATCGATTCATGTGGACGTCCGTTTTTGCGATGTGTCTCATTGAATTGCAATTGCCCATGCTATACTCCTCGACCTCAGTTGAGATTCATAGTACGCATTGTGTTTCGTAGTATTTTTATTATTCTTCGACTGGTTGGGACCATTATTTACATAGTAGCATTCGTTGAGCTGTCAGAACGAACAAGTCAGACGTTAGAAATAGTATTAGTCGGTGTTTTAACAGTTGCCTTAATCTGCTCAGTTTTAACGATTATACTGGATATATACTACTATAGAGTATGGTGGGCGTATGAACCTATTGTTGATGCGGACCCATCTTTTAGTATACCACCACTCTCTTCTAAACATAAACGATTTATTCCGTATGTACTGATTGAAAAATTTCGAACGGCTGCAATTGGTAACCAAAAATGCAAAAACGGTAATGGATGTAAAGAACGAGAGTTGGAACACATTGTCATTTTTCATTCAGCCGATTTTCGACCACAACCGAGATGGTCGCCCGACTATCCGATCTATATTGGTTTCCATCGGACACGAGCAGATTTTGCAATTTCGATCGCTCATAGTGATATGAATATTAGTACGACTCCTCCACAAATGTTAGGATTTGGTATTTATTTTGCTCGTTCAGTCGCAAATACTGAAGGAAAAGCAAGAGAAGCTGGTGCATACATTTGTGCAGAAGTTCGTATGGGAAAGGTTCTGATGCTCACCAAGTCTGAATTGCATACAGTCAGCAATAAAAATTCGTGGTGGTTGGAGTATGATACCGTCTATTACAAACATGATCAAGAAGCAAGAGATGAATTTTGTGTCAAAAGTCCAGATCAAGTTCTCAAATGGATTATATATATTGGACCAGGCGAGGACCAAAAATTGGCACTGTACGGAATGGACGTGGAGTTTAACGATACAAAATGTTATTGTATCTGAAACATATTTATATATTTATAAGCGAGACTTTGTGTGCGTGTGTGTGTGCGTAATGATTCTCATACTGGATGTTGGTATTGGTATGCCAATCTTGCTTTCCTCATCCATTTGCATTGCAATCACTATCGAACAAATTTCTAACAGATTTGATTAATGTTTTTAAAGTGTGCAGTACTTTGTTCATAAAACGAAAGAAAATAATAAAATATTTTAATTAAACACGTTCTCGATAAATAAATACCTAATAGTGCAAAGTCATTGATTGTTCAAAAATCTCGACTTATATATCTTTGCTTGTACTATGTTTATTCCAAAGAGACAAAAATCCACGCTTAGAAAAATTTCATACTCTGCGAGATATGATCAAAGTTATGGTAACTCGTTGTTCATTAGCTACTGTATTGTATTAAACATGAGTTGTGTATAAGAAATAGATGCATTGCATCTATGATTGAGAAGATTTGCCAAACACACCCTACATTAAGAAAAATAGTACGAAATAAATAGTAAAACTGGTGAATAAAATCATTCTCTAACCTTATCATCAAGCAAAAATATGTTATAATGTTCCATTTGTTTCTTGTAAAAAAATTCAATCATTTGAAATTTGATGTAGATATGAAAAGAAAAATATTGTAAGAAGTATATGATTTGATTGAATTTTTCATCAACAACAGATCAGTCAATCAATCAATCACTATTGTCGACCGTTATTAAAAAGAAAACTTTCCTATGTTATCACACGTACAAATGCTTCGTTTTTGCTGAAGTTTACAAGATATAATAAAAGAATATTGCTTTAAAGAATATCGTATTAAAAAGTTAATGCATTTGCATCAGATGTGTCCGTGACGGCTGAAAATCTGTCACTGCACTGGACATTTCTGGTTTTTATGCAATAGAATGAATGTATCATTTTGCTTGTATTAAAACATATTTATTTTGATTATTACTCAGTGATTTTTGTCATTCTTCCCGAACGGTGTGGGTGTGCGTAAAAAGAAAAGAAAAGAAAAGAAAAGAAAAGAAACACCCACATCAACATCCACACCCTCTGGCATGCGTATATCGATATTGATCATTAAGAGCTATCAATCGCTGATGTAGTCAAGCCGGTGATTCAAAAAATCTACCTCATACACTTGCATGAAGAAAAATCCATTGATTATAATTATTATTTCTAAGCCCAATATAATCCAATCTGACGTTAATAGTATTATCGATAGGAATAATAATGAAAGGAAAATTGCCATAGAATTGTTCAAGAATTTCTCCATATTTTTCGTTTAAATCTATCATAAACATGATGAGATATCTGTCGCGTATTATAAACAGATGGCCGTGATGATTATTTTCATCAGTTGTATTTAGCAAAAGATTGTCCAAGTTTTCTAAAGAGACAATATCTGATATTTTCAGTTGCTTCTGAATAGAAATATACATTATGAGCGATGGTGAATTCGAAAGAGAAATGATGATTCGAACGAGATGAGTCACATATTGGAACAGAAGATATATAAGCAGACCAGTCAGTACATAAGATATATAACGAGTAGAGAAATACGAAACATCGAACACTGCAGCAAAATTATTAAAATTATTGTATTTATTTGAATGTTGCGGGAAAATTTATCCAACACCGGTTTCATAGAGATATCCGATCAGAATACCACATTTTGTATTATTCTCTTGTTGAATACTCTTGGATTGTGCATACATATCTGTTGTATTTTTTCAATGTACATTGATTTTTCAGGTCTTCCTTCGCATGCTTGTGAAGGAATTGTAAGCTCTTCGGCAATGCATTGTAGCGTATTGATACTAGACCATTGAAAACGATATGGGTAGTGTTTTTGGAAGTGCGCTTGTTCGTCGGCAGGAAATTTAATATAGAATTTCATGTGTGGTGTGTCAATAGTTGATTTCTGGGTACGATAGAGTGTATACAACAATTCGCCATTCGAATAAACATGGCTAAACATTCGAAATATATTTCTGCTGTCTTGGTTGATCACATTTTTATCCAATTCAATTGGAACATAGTCAGGTTGAAAGAGAAACCAATGAACCGAAAAAACTGATTTATAAACTGATATGTTAGATATAGTTTCTAAATGATTCCAAAACTGATTGAGATTCATAGAAAATGAACTTTTTCATGTATTGCACACTCGATTAGAACATTGAAATATTAACAATACAACAAAATATAAGGCTAAATTGGTCCATACCTTTCGAATATTTACAGTATGTGAATTCCAAATATCTTGAAGACGTTGATCATGAATGCATCGCAATAATGATGAGCAAGATGATCCCTCTCTCATAGCTGTCCCCGAGATGGGTTGTTTTGCCAACGTACAGAAAAAAAAATAAGAAAAAAGAAAAAAACACGCACTGTGTTGGTAACGCAGATTGAATGTATTTAATGGTATGTCAAAATTTGCATCTAAATATTAAGTTAAGATGAGGAATAGTGACGAATGTAAAGAACTCGATGAGAATGTTTTTAATTGTTAATGTTATTCAATCTGGGTCATCCATGAATGAGCAACTTGCACATGTCAGAATCACTTTCTCGCTTTCGATTTTATGAAAAAAATCCAGCTTCTTCAAAGTCGAGCGTATGTTTACAACTTTTCAAAAAAAAAATCGTGACGAAGACAGCATGCTTTAAAACATTAAGTGTTGTGTGTTAGTCTAAAGTTTCGGGTATAATCAGAGATGTTAACCGAGCAATTCATTAATGATAACAGCACAAATTTGATCAAGTGTAATTAATGATGAATCTGAAGAACAAGAATCTTCGGCAATATCTGGAATTTTTTTTTTCATTTATAAAACATATAGCCTTTCATTTCACCTTATGAAGTACAATAAACATCCATAGCTTATAACAGTGTCTGATAAGACCTAATATTTCTATCGCTTGTTTACTGAAATACTTATTCTGAATTATCGTCGGCAGTAATTTGAAAGACTTTTTAAGGCAATGCTGCTATTAGTTTTATTAAAAACTGGATATCAAATTACAATATGTCTAGTGAAGTATAGAAAATTTGATGGCAATTAGAACTTTCAAAAAAAAATCTATCCTTATTGTGCCATGAATGTAATTGTCCAGATATGCACAGAAGTAAAACGAAAGAAACACACTGAAAAAACGGTAGATGGGTGAGTCTTCTCTACGATAATAACGAGATCCACACTCAAGCACAATGATTTATGCATTCAATAATTTTTTAGAAACATTTATTGAAATGTGTATTGGTTTGTTTCTCATGCTATCAACGAAATTATAAAAATCGTGTGACGTTAAGATATGTTTTTCATGCGTCATAACGAAGACAAGAAAAGAGAAGAAACAGAATTGCACCATCACTATCGTCGAACAGAATAAGTTAATGTTTGTTCGTGTAATAAAATTGGACAAGCCGCGATTTCGTGTCTTATTCCGTTTGAGCCTGAAGCATACTTGGACAAAAGAATGGCCGACTTTCGGGAAAGTCATTCCTAGGCACGAAATCAACTCGATACTTGCCCTTTTTTTACTCATAGTTTTTAAAAATAGCCTCAGTTTGTTTTACGCCACGAGGTTTTTCGTTGGTCTTGATACTACAAGAATTTGTGAGCTTTTTTTCTATTTCTTATCTATCAAATATTTCTTTTCATGAATACTTCGACCGTTGATGTCAACACGTAATTAGTCACTGCTTTCTTCTAAATAAATGCACAGGAATGACATTCAATTTTAACAAGTTTTTTTTCTACAACATTATTAACTCAATGGCACATACTAGGATCATGAATAACTTGCCTCATAGTTGTATATCTAGTTATTTGTAAGATAAGACAAATTAATTAAGTGAAAAAAGTCTCTGTTATAATCTAATATTAATCAAATAATATACATGTTCGAAAGACAACTATAAGCAGAGGAGAGCTTCACAGGAAAATCTTCTTACTCTTTTAATAATTAACTTATAAATAATATTAGTATGAAAAAAATTCAAAATTAACTAAAATAATAATAATCTTTGTTTTAGTGATGAAAAAGGCATATATCGGTCTATTCATAGGTCAATGATTCTGGTGTCCCGATCCAAATACAATACTTACACGAATGTTTAGTTAGATGCATTCATAGTGATGAAGATAAAGCTAAAGATATCGGTGATAACAATGAAAGTTGTCTTCAATCTATTTTCGGATCGTGTGATGTGAATATTACTGACATAGTTCATGGAATATTGCCTAAAATCGAAATTTTTATTAGTTATCAATTGAAAAGATCTTGAAAATGCATTCGAAGATTATTTTCCTACACAAAAAGCAATAATATACGCGTTTGTTTATGTCATTTTTTATGGAAGACTAAAATGAAGCAAATGAGTAAATTAGATTTATTAGCACTCCTTCACTGACATTCTAAAAATTTCAATTGAAGTATTTGATCAACAATTCTGAATGAAATTCATATATGACATAAGTAAACATTGATATTCAATGATTTCTTTTTTGAAAGGATCTGATTATATCTTTGGTATCGAATTTAATTGTAATTCATAATTATGAGAAACTTTTTTTTTTGACTGAGTCGAGAATATATCCAAAGAGCCACAACCAAGTAAATTTTTCTCTTGCATCTACTCTTTGTTCAACATTGGCACAAAAATAGGTATACTATTTTCTTTTTAGTCTCTGCAGTATTGTAGTTGTTGCGAAAGTTTTTAAAAAATGCTTTCAAAAACACTCAAAAGTTCAGCAAAAACAATATTTCGCAAGTAAAATCTCGAAGTTTTATTCAATTATTTTGAGTGACTTCTTATTCAAAACAATATTAAAAACTGAATAAAAATGATTTGTTAAAAGATTTTCTAGGGAATATTTGTTTGTGAAAATATTAAAATTGCTTAAACTTGCAAGCGTTGAGATTTCGAAATATTTTAAAAACTTCAGCAGCTTGAAAGGTTCGCGATGAAATAAAAATAAATGTATTG